AGGGAAGGGAAGGGAAGGGAAGGGAAGGGAAGGGAAGGGAAGGGAAGGGAAGGGAAGGGAAGGGAAGGGAAGGGAAGAAGTTAGAGTGATCCTATACAATGCATGGTCAAAATATGCTTCTTCTGAAGTAGTGGAAATTGAAAAAGAACACAGTCAATGTCTGTAGAAGTGTGTGACTCCATGTAGGTGGCTGTCCTTGGCTGGACAGAATTCAGCCTCCTCACTTTCTTCTGTCCTCAGTTATAGAACATGGGCTGTGTCTGCTTGTCTTAGACACAGCAGTACAGTTTCAGCTCTGAGAAAATCTATGCAGCAGCAAAAATTCACAATAGTGCTTTTCCAGTGGACTGAACCATTTCAAGCATATCTCTTGAAATTACCTGAGGCAAACCCAGAAAGATCAAAGAAACCTAAGGAAATTATACTAATGCTCAGATGAAGCATAATAAGTGACCTCTAACTGAAACTTTTATAATCCATCTGTCTTTTCCTCTAAAGACAACAAATTTCATTCACTGGCTTACATTTTGGGAGGTTAAAACCAAAATATTTCTTTATCAGTTGTCCCACTGTACAAATGAAAAAGACATATAGAATCACAAAATCACTTAGAATCACAGAGTGGTTGCTTTTGTAAAGAACCTTAGATGTCACACAATTTTAACCACTCTACCATGGGCAAGGATCCAACCCACTAGATCATATTTCTCAGGGCACTATCCTAATAGGTTTTGAACACTCCCAGGGGTGGGAAATCTCCACATTCTCTGAGCAACCTGTCCCAGAGCCTCAACCCCCTCACAGCACTCAGCCTGTCTTTGCAGGAGAGGTGCTTTGGCACTTTGGTCATCTTTGTGGCCCTATTCTGGGATAATTCTAACATGTCCATGTCTTTCCTGTGATGGGACATGAAAAAATGAATGGAGAAGGCCCTATATATCAGGCTAACAGAATGATACATGATCTACTTTTTAGCATTGTTAAGATGCAAAAATGAAAATCTTCCTATCCCTTTCTTAAAATTGTTGTGTTGTCACGTGCTGTAATATTTTAACAGAGGATCAATATGATACAATTGCTAAATGAAGGAGTCCTGAATAGTTGGAATTATTTTTCACTGATAATAAAAGAGAAATAGCAAATCTTGGTTATTGCACAAATCCAAATGGATTAGCAGCATGACTATATCATATTATCAAAAAAACCCAGAGAACAAATACGTAGGTTTCTATTTTAAAATGTCATTCTAACAAAATCCAGGATAAAAATCTCAAGACTTTGTCATCATGATATCTGAGATATCCGAGAACCTTTTAAAGGATGGTATAGAAGCAGAAAACATATCAGGCTTGATATGAAAAAATATGCTACTTACAGATAGTAATGCACATATATCAATATTAAAAAAATTGTTGCTACAGACTTAATAAAAAACACCCAGTCATAAAAAAAAATCTGTATGAATTCAGATTTTGAGCACAGCGTGCTTCTAATGTTTTTTTTACCTTTGTAGCTAAGGAATGCTGACTTCACAATTTCTCTTTTCTTTCAGTGGATATTTCTACAATGTATTTTCATTTAAGGGGTTAGCAACTTCAGTAATCTGTATTACTAAGATACTTGACAGCTACTAAATGTACTATCTACAGTTTCAAAAACTGGAATTGTGTATAAAATTATAAAAATGGTATAATTTTTATCCTACATATGTTTCTGTGAGATACTGAAACATTAATGGTTAATGACTAAAAAACTTGTCAATGTGAAAATGCAGTGGCTGCTTTGCTGAGGTCGGGTTTGCACTCCCTGCCCCCAAAGAAGGGCATGAGGAGAGTTTTTTGTGTGGTTGTGAAAGCTCGGACCCACATCCAACAGAGCAACTGAACACCCACCACTGGAGGACCCAAGCTGGGTTTTGATCCAGATAACAGAGAAGGCAAATAAGAAGCAGTCTCTGCTGAGGCACCACAGTGCTTTTAGTCACTCCAATGTCCTCCCTTACACAGCTGGCTCAGGTGTAAAGCTCCCCAGGGAGGTACTGAGATATTCTAATCTGCTGCAAGAAATCTACTAACAAGAACCTGAGTTACCTCTGCCCTCAGGGGCAGGTCTTATCAGCCTAAGAAATGGAATGTCTTATTCTCC